ACAGATACATTGACCAATGGAACAGAATTGAGAACCCAGATGTAAATCCATCCACCTACAGTCACTTGATCTTTGACAAGGGCCCAAAGTCCATCAAATGGGAAAAAGGCAGTCTTTTTAACAAATGATGCTTGTCAAACTGGATGTCTATCTGCAAAAAAATGAACCAGGACCCACCCATACCTCACACCATATACAAAAACTAATTCAAAATGGATTAAAGACCTAAATATAAAGCCAAAAACTATAGAGTTCATAGAAGAAAAAATAGGATCGATGCTAGAGGCCTAATACACGACATTAGCAGGATACAAACCATAACCAACAACACACAAACTCCAGAAGATAAGCTAGATAACTGGGATCTTCTAAAAATTAAACACTTATGCTCATCAAAAGACTCCACCAAAAGAGTAAAAAGAGAACCTACAGACTTGGAAAAAAATTTTGGACATTACAAATCAGACAAAGGTCTAATCTCTAAAATCTACAAGAAAAACCAACACCTCTACAGCAAAAAGACAAATAATCCTATTAAAAAACAGGCAAAGGAAATGAACAGACACTTCACCAAAGAAGACATTCAAGTGGCCAACAGACACATGAGGAAATACTCGTGTTCACTAGCCATTAGAGAATTGCAAATCAGAACCACAATGAGATTCCATCTCACCCTGGCATTACTGGCATGAATTAAAAAAAACTGGAAATAACAAATGTTGGAGAGGCTGTGGGGAGATTAGAACTCTTATGCACTGCTGGTGGGAAAGCAAAATGATCCAACCATTTTGGAAAACAATATGGTGTTTCCTTAGAAAGCTAGAAATAGAAATAGCATATGATCCAGTAATCCCACTCCTAGGAATATACCCTAGAGAAATAAGAGTCATCACATGCATAGACATACACACACCTGTGTTCATTGCAGCATTGTTCACAATAGCAAAAAGATGGAAACAACCTAGATGCCCATCAGCAGAAGAATGGATAAACAAACTATGGTACATACACACAATGGAGTACTACGCAACGATAAAGAACAATGATGAATCTGCGAAGCATCTCACAACATGGATGAATCTGGAGGGCATTAGGCTGAGTGAAATAAGTCAATCACAAAAGGACAAATATTGTATGAGACCACGACTGTGAAAACTCATGAAAATGTTTATACACAAAAAGAAACAATCTTTGATGGTTACAAGGGAGGGGAGACAATAGATAAGTGGTAACTTTGGTGAAGGGTAAGACAGTACATAATACTGGGGAAGCCAGCACAACTTGTACAAGGAAAGGTCATGGAAGCTCCATAGACACATCTAAACTCCCTGAGGGACTGAATTGCTGGGTGGAGGGCTGTGGGGACCATGGTCTCAGGGAACATCTAGCTCAATTGGCTTAACACTGTCGATAACCAAATGTTCTACATTCTACCTTGGTGAGTAGAGTCTGGGGTCTTAAAAGCCTGTGAGCGGCCATCTAAGCTACTCCACTGGTCTCACCCCTTTGGGAGCAAGGGAGAATGAAGAAAACAAGATACAAGGGAAAGATTAGTCCAAAGGACTAATGGACCACAACTACCACGGCCTCCACCAGACTGAGTCCAGTACAACTAGATGGTGCTCGGCTACCACCACTGACTGCTCTGACAGGGATCACAATAGAGGGTTCTGGACAGAGCTGGAAAAAAATGTAGAACAAAATTCTAACTCATAAAAAAAGCAGACTTACTGGCCTGACAGAGAGCGGAGAAACCCTGAGAGTATGGCCCCCAGACACCCTTTTAGCTCAGTTCTGAAGTCACTCCTGAGGTTCACCCTTCAGCCAAAGATTAGACAGGCCCATAAAACAAAACTTGACTAAATGGGCACACCAGCCCAGGGGCAAGGACCAGAAGGCAGAAGGGGACAGGAAAGCTGGTAATAGGTCCTCCAAGGTCGAGAAGGACGAGTGTTGACATGTCGTGGGTTGTTAACCCACGTCATAAAACAATATCTGTACTAATTGTTTAATGAGAAACCAGTCTGTTCTGTAAAGCTTCATCTAAAGTATAATACAAAATATAAATAAATAAATATACCATATACAAAGTCCAATGGATGAATAATATTTTTGAGGGAAAATAAGTATAATGCGAATGATAGATAAAATTGTAACATCTATAATATTAAAAAGCTCTCATAAATTGACAAGAAAATGACAACCCAATAGATAAATATTCTTTCATGCAACACTGGTAGAAATAAGTAATGTTATAACTTTTTAGTGACTGCAGGTATCTATCCCATAGGAAAAAGAATATGTACATAATATGTGTAAGGGTATGTATTGCAGCAGCATTTTGTGGCAAAAAAATTGGGAGCAATGTGTAACCCCCTCAACAAGAGGTTAGTTGAATACAGTATAGTGCATTTATACCAGGGACTCTCAGGCAGTCATTGAAAACAATAAAGTTTTATCAGTTGGCTTGGATGGAGTTCTCCAAGGTTTTTTTGATTAAGAAAGCGACGTTCAGAAAAGTATAATGTGTTCCATTTTAAAAATATAAACAATGTGAAGTACATATACATACGTATATCTGTGTGTATGTGTGTGTGTATCTCCATATGAGCATGGGAAAACTGTATCAGGGTTATTAAGATCAGTTACAGATAAGGAAGGGCAGAGTGATGACGGGAAAAGGAGAAAGAAATATAAAGGTGAAGGCACATTTATACGTATATAAACATTTACAAAGCGCATTTCTTTGGTTCAAACTTCTCGGAACTCTTAACCAATTCATATTCATACACGTTAGTTCTAATTAGTGAGGTTTTATTTCAATGAATTAAACCTAATCGTCGTGTTCGGTAGAGGGCCATCGAAAACAAGGGAAACCCTCAATGAGATGAATTGGCACAATAGCTACAAAAATGGGCTCAGACGTACCAAGAATTGTGAGGATGGCACGGGACTGGGCAATGTCTCATTCTGTTATTCACTGAAATCTGTGAGAGCCGGAACTCAACGGAAGTGCCTTGTTTCTCCAGGTCTCACAAGTTTTCTACCTTTGACAGGGTGCAGTCTTAACCACTTTTCTATTGCTTGTTTTAGTAGAAAATATTTGAGTTTTCCTTTTCTGATAATTTTCCGCCTTACACAGGTTTCGGCTTTCACAGGTTTTACAGCAACTAACAACAACAACAACAGTTTGGAAGGGAATTTTTTAAAAATGATACGGGATGTGGGAGATTTATAAGAATTTTATTATTTACCTATGCTACAGGATTTTCTACATTAATCTGGATCTAGAAAACAAACTAATGTTCAGGCCTGTGATTTCCAAATCTTAGCTTGGATTAGAATCACCTAGAGGGCTTCTGAAACCACAGACTCCTGGGCCCCATCCCCAGAGTTTCTGACTCAGTAGGTCTGTGATGGGACCCAAGAATCTGCATTTCTAACAAGTTATTGGGAGGCTGGCAGTCCAGGAACCACACTTTGAGAACCACGGGTCTCAAAGCAAGCTAACATTCAAATGAAAAACAATGACTCACACGATGTTCCCTTAACCACAGTTGTACTCACATTTAAGCCAGCTTTCTTCCAATAATAGTTGCTATACTGGTTAACCATGCACTTTGTTTTTTCTTTAAACTTTTCTTCTGAGTCAACAGACCACCAAGGATCCAGATTTCCATTTTTATCATATTTTCTCCCTAGGAAAAAAGGAAATTTAAAAGATATTTATGGAAACAAAATTCTTCATCTTTCTTTTCCTTCACTTCAACAAGCCTTCAAGAAGCAGTCACAGCAGCTCCTGCCTTCTCACCAATGTCACAGGTGAATTGTAAAAAGGCAAAGGAGAAAGAGGGCTTAGGGAGTTCTTTCCTTCTAAGGAACAAAGAGCAATTTAAAAATAAGAGTTATCAATTTATTGCATGCACTAGTCTTATCCAAACTTGGATTCTCTGTTTTCACCTGATCTGACCCAAAACATTCTCTGGATTATGAAATAAAATGGCTTCATTCAGAAACCCCATGGAGAAAGTCGGAGCATCACTTCCAGTGAAATTCCAAACGATCCATAGGAATAGCCCTGATGAGTCATTCGCACCACATGACCACAGACCCTGACTCAGCCCTACAGAACGTGTCTCTTCCAACTTGCCAGGAGCCTAGAGACACATAAAACCTCTGTTATGAATCATTGCACAGCAATCAGTGTGGATGGAAGGCCCATCTGTCCTACTTAGACAAGGAAGAATGCTCAAAAAGGAGTACTTGGAACAAGGATAACAATCTCCAAAACGTAATGGGGAAAAAATTAGTTACGTATGCTTTCTTGCTAAATGTTCTCTCTTCATTTTCTCCACACCCTCAAAACAAAAGTTTGGATGCATCTGGACTATCTTCCATGTTCAAGGTTACTATTGGAATTAGAGGCATAGTTTAAATTTAAACAGAGAACTTTCCATTGGGCTTACAGAAAAGTCCCCTAAAATAAAAGTATTAATTGGAACAATCAGCAAGACTGGATGCCGTTAACACCACCCCCTGGAATAGCCTGGGCTCACTGTCCTTCACCCACTAACCAACCAATCATTACATAGTTACTGGGCATGTACTTATGTGCAATGCACTGTTCTAAGCTAAGTTACAGAGTAAAATTTCCATCATTAGATTCCATCCTTTGAGAGAGATTCCAGAAGTCCCCCAGAAGGCTCTGAGGAAACAATGTACTTAAATTTCCTAGGAGGAAGGGCTCAGACCCAGGAGATGGCCAAGACTCTCCTCGCAGATAAACCAATTGTCTAAAGGCAGAAAGTCTAGCTCTGGGGAATCAGATGACTACAAGGCAGCTGTATTTTAATAGGATGGGGAGTCTAAGGGAGCAAAAATCCTTTAGAGGATCAAGGAAGGGTTGGCGGGACCATGGGAAGAATTGTCCAGAAAGAGAAGAACCAAAAAGGTCTCTGGCCTTGGGTAGGCATCTAGGAAAGGAGGTTGGAGCTACCACAGGCACGGAAGAAAGAGGTCCCCCTGCATCCAACATTGCCTTGGGTCAGCTACATTCTTGAGTTTGCCTGTAAATCACTGGGGAAATGTGTATGTGATAGTAATTTGCTGCTAATTTGTACATTTCAGAGATTTCATGTGGCTTTCCAATAATACGCCAAAGTTAAAGGAGAAAAGAATGCTGATTTTAAAATGATGACTCTCAAAGGGAGATCATTTCTATAGTTTATACCATACTCTGCTTTTTCCTTTTATTTAAATGTCATCAGGATACATAGTATATAGCATAATTCATATTATGCATTCTTAGGAAAGCATATCCTTTTTTAAAAAAAAATCTGCATGTATGTCAGTATAGCAAAAGAGATTGAGCACTGCATAATTCTTGAAATAGTAAAAAGGAACCAGTCAGCCAAACTCCAGAATCTTAACTCAGTGAATCTCACTTGGCAGAGCACTCACCTCCAGGGAGAACATTGCAAGATGGTGAATAAAGAAACGACAAAGGGGAGAAGCTATAAAGCAATTCCTATAACCATTATGACAGCTACAGCAATCCTGATTTAAATGCAAAGCTAATTTCATTGAAATTACAGGGTCTTTTTTTCATTCTACCCTGATCACCAACGGGAACAATTGTTTATTTATTGCAAACTATCACAGCAAGACATGGGGGAAAGTTTTCAATCAGCAATCATATTGCTTTGGACGATCATCAATCTATGACGATGCCACTATACAAAGATAATAGCAACAATTAACATCCACATAGTCAACATTATTATAGAAGCAGCAGCTTATAAAATGAACCTGTACTTACCATTATTATCAAATCCATGTGTAAATTCATGTCCAACAATTACTCCTATAGCGCCATAACTCAGAGATCTACGGCATAAATACATGATTTGGAGACAATTACAAGCATGAATCTCAGAGCATAATCTTTTAATGTTTTGTTCAATGAAAGCCAAGATAATCTGTTTTCTAGTAACCATAGTAATAACAATCTAATAACTATACCTACAGAACTGTAAAAAGATATAAACATAGCCTTCTGATTGAAATGGACAAAGAAAATATGAAGTCTATCATAATAGAGGGTCCTGGATAGAGCTGGAGAAAAATAGAGAACAAAATTCTAACTCACAAAAAAAGACCAGACTTACTGGTCTGACAGAGACTGGAGAAACCCTGACAGTATGGCCCCCAGACACCCTTTTAACTCAGTACTGAAGTCACCCCTGAGGTTGACTCTTCAGCCAAAGATTAGACAGGCCCATAAAACAAAACGAGACTAAAGGAGCACACCAGCCCAGGGGCAAGGACCAGAAGGCAGGAGGGGACAGGAAAGCTGGTAATGGGGAACCCAAGGTCGAGAAGGGGAGAGTGTTGACACGTCATGGGGCTGGCAACCAATGTCACAAAACAATATGTCTATTAATAGTTTAATGAGAAACTAATTTGTTCTGTAAACCTTCATCTAAAGCACAAAAAAAAAAAAGAAAATATAAATTCTAACATTGTCACTATGACCATGTATGGGCCTTAGTGTCCTATCCTGTGAAATCAGGGATGTGAAAGAAACGATTTCTAAAGTCCCTTCGAGAGCTAAGATTCCTACGATTCTCTATCTGCCCCAGTTGTATTTTATATTTATAAACACCCAGAGCCTCAGAAGGGTTTGAAAAGATCCTGTCAGTAAACATACCATTTATTGTTTTATCTCAGAACTTGTTGAAAAGTCACTGTAATCTTAGAAGTTAAATTGTTTTCCAAATGTAGTCATAAAAAAGGAATATAGCAGAGACTAAAAGGGATCACTCTGTTTTCAAAGGTAGCCATGTTCATCTGCTTCTGTGACAGACAAGCTCACAACTGAACAGCAAAGACTGTGAAGCCTTAACCGAGTTTGGAAAAGGCATTACATAATTTCTCTACACCTCTGAAAAAGCCTGCGGTAGATTATCTACAAAGGTGGCTGCCAACAATTCCATCCACTGCTGAATGCAGATGCCCTCCTCCCATCAGAAGGCCATCTATTTCCCTCCCCTTGAATTTGAACTGATCTTAGGACTTGCTGCAACTTGCTGCCAACAGTGTGAGTGGGAGGGTGTGACTTCTGGGCCTAGGCCTGAAGAGGCCTTGTAGCTTCCATTTTTCACCCTCTTGGAAGTTAGTCGCAATGTAAAGAAGTTCAACTACCCAGCTGGAGATGGAGAGGCCAAGAGCGAGAGACTCCAAAAGTTGAGAGACTATGAAAGAAGAGAGAGGGGCCCAGCCAGGCCCCAGACATTCAAGCCAGACCAACTGAGGCACCAGACAGGAGAGTGAAGTCACCTTAGATCCTCCAGCCCTGGTGGAGCTGTCCCAGTCAACACCAACTGGAGCAGAGACAAGCTGTCTCCGCTCACCAAAAAAAAAAGACTCATAGCGACCCTATAAGAAAGAGTAGAACTTAGCCCCACAAGGTTTCCGAGGAACAGCTGGTGGATTCAAACTGCCGGCCTTTTGATTAGCAAGCGAGCTCTTAACCACTGCGCCACCAGGGCTCCTCTATCTCAGCTCAGTCCTGTCCAGATTGCACAAGCATGAGGCCAGTAAGTGGTTGTTTGGGGGTGCTTTGTTAGGTAGCAGTAGATACAAATGAAACAAAGCATATTACTAATAGAGGAAGAAATCAGTAAGTGGGTTCCCATATGTGTGCGTCTGTGATTTTCTCTCTCATCTACAAGATCCATGAAGGCCAAACCCTTAACTACTTGTTCACTGCTAAATTCTCTGTACCTAGGACACAGTAAAATGTAACAAAGATTTAGTTCATTGATTAATTTTACTATTTCATGCAAGTGACAGATCTATATGTAACCTATTTTAGTCATTTAACCTGTGGATGAGAATCATAATGGACCACTTAGAATCCTTACTATGAGGATTCTTCATGAGTTTTGCAGTTAAGCTAAAAATATTTTGCTGTCGGTTCCTGACATATAACATCAAAGTCACCCAGCAAATAGATAGGACCCAGAACTGGAAGGAATGGAAATTTTTGAAGCAACATGTTATTACAGGACATAATGATCCCTAACATGCTAATTGTTTGTCTCAACTATACCCAAGGAAGCGCTGTAAGATTTAATTTTTCCCCTTGGTAGCAATTCTTTCCTTTATTATTTCTTTCCTGCAAGGTAATTTGCATTTGAAAAAATGCTTCCTACTGTTTTTCCATCATTGTAAACCTTCCTTAAAAGAGTACGAGTAAAAGTATGCATTTCAATCATAGAGCTATCATAGCAGTGTGCAACAAACTTGTAATTTTACATAGTGCTAATTTTTCCAGCAGTAGCTGTCACTGAGCAGCCTGTAACATTTGGTTTTTCCAGGTCTCTCATCCCTGAGAACAGCACTGAGTCCCCGACAAGCCTCAGTCAATGCTGTTGACTGGATGAATTTCAGGGATGAACAACAGAAGCTTATAGAAACTGCTCTGCAATAAATGTCCCTTAAGAGGGACTGCACCGAGGAGCTTCCTATTTGCAAAGGGTAATAGAGAATTCAGAAAATGATTGAATCATTGTACGTTTCAATTCTCAGTTACATAATCACAATCCTTTAGACAAGAGACAAAGTAATTGTATATGACTAAGCCTTGCAATGGCCATGGTTCATAATATTAAACTCACATCCTCCATTTCATCAATGGACTTTATTTAAAATAGTGTATCATTAAAAAATAAAATAAAATAAACAAACTGGTGTGCCTTTTGAAATGTGATTGGCTGGCCAGAAACAGGAAGGCTTCCTGCAGAGAAAATCTAGCCTCCCAAAAATAAAATGGGGCAGATGACAATTTTACCACCTACTCAATTTCTCTTTTGTTCTTACTACCCAATGGGTTTAAGATATGCTCAGGGTTTGCTGTCTACAATAGAACGATTATACTGCTGTTTGGACCATGATCTCAAGCTCTTAAGCCTGAGTTGTAAATTCATAAAAATGTCAGTGCTGGAAGTAGCTTTAAGATCATCTAGTTCAGCTCCCTACCAGAAGCATGAGCCCCTTCTATAAAATGCCATCAAATGGTCATGAGACTTCTGCTTGAACGTTTTCAGTGACCAGGAGCTCACCTCCCCTGAGGTAGCTCATTCCCTCCTTGGGTGGTCCTGAAGTAAACGAAATAAAATTTTCTTCCTGTGTTTATTGGTCTCGTGTGGTCTCTACTCAATCACCCTCGGATACCCTTGAGTACAGTAAATCGTTCTGTCACCTAACTTTCCTTCAACAATGTGAAGACAATTACAAGGTTTCCCCTCAAGTGCTCTCTTCTTAACATCTTTCAACTGTTCTTCACTCATTAATTCTAGACCAGCATTTCCCAAAACACATTCCACAACAAGAGAGTGTCAGATGGGGATGGGAAAGGAGAGTTCAGAAGCCTCTGGGTTAAGCACATTTAAATAGGTTTCTTTCTTGCAGAACTTCTTGGGAATTTTTATGCTGGTAAGTATTGTGATTCTCTAAAACAGAGGGAGGGGGAAGATGACTGCCTCTATTACTAGTTGATGGAAGACACTTTGGGAAATGGTGCCTTAAGCCATTCCCAATCCTGAACTTCTCCTCTAGAAACAAGCCAGCTTGTTGATGTCCTTATAATTAGACCCAACACTCAGGTGAGGGCTGAACTGGGCAAACCAAAACAGAAGAGACAAAATTTCTACAATCAAAACAAATTTTCTGTGCATTAAAGCACGAGAGCAAGCAAAGGCATATAACAAAAGTGATGATATTACCTGAATCCTCAATATACATGGAAATCTGAATTATGCAAGTCTCCAATCTGTTAGTATTAATGGCCTACAAACTGGTATCGCTAACTCCAGACACTGTCGATTTTGACATATTCTAAAGTTACCAAAGTTATATTTCTACAGACAAATTCGATTATCTTATTTACATGCTCAAAATGTCAATATTTTCTATTGCCTGTTAGTATCCAAGTTCCTGACCTAGTTTTCAGAACCCTCTAATATCTAACCTCAACATTTCCAGAATTATCTTCTACTACTTCCCTTCATACACCACTGGGGCCAGCCAAACTCAACTCTCTGCCATTCTACAAGTATTTTCCTTCCTTTTCTCACGTTGTTTCTTCCATCTGGAATGATTTTAGCCCGTCACTATCAACTAAAATCCCAGCAATCTTTTAAGGTCCAAATATTTGTAGTGAGTCAATGGGTGACTGAATAGATACACAAACCTGAAAACCACCCGTGTATACGTTGGCTTTCATGTCTAGCCATACACCCTAGTAACAAGGATCAGAAAACACATACCTCAGACGGTGAGAGTGGGGAAGACCTATGCTAGGTTCCATAGCCTCTTTCTGCTGAATTACTTTTGGCTTTGCTTTTTGACTTTATATTCTGTTCTCTGTCAAAGCAGCATGCTTTCCATCCTCACTTGTCAATAACTGGTTTCTTTACTAATTACTCACCGAGGATATTCTGTTCCCCAAAAGAAAGGCTTCTGGAGCTCACCCGCTGGAAATCCTGGGAGAAAGGCAAACAAATAAACAAAAATTTTAAGCTACAGAGAGACTGATTCAATGAAGAGTACCTGCTTCCAGCTATAGCCTTAAGGTCTCAAAGGGCCTTCTGAAAGGTACTCCTTATGCAGTTGGGAACCCTCTAAGAGATCCAACTGTCTCTGTGATGATATTAACTCAACTGAGTTTGAAATAAGTGCATTAAACCAGTTTCAAGGAAAGCATTTTGCATGGATACACTATTGGCAGTGTCCACTCTGCTGCGAACTGGGTGCCTTCATAGAGTATGTGCATGAGGCTTCGGGCTGTCAAGCAGCTTCCCCTGATGCCAGAAGGGCCAACTTCTTGGGCATGCCATCTGTGCAGTCACACAGGACCCATGCTCAGAAGGGCCCTGCACTCGATTTAATGCTCTGCTGTCACCATCTTGAAATTCTTAATAATTTTATCTTTGAATTCGTGTTTTTTATGTGAAGTCCAAGGGGACATTGGAGTGTGTATGTAAACAGAGGAGATACCCACAATATTCATGTCCACCGTTCCTAGATGGCCCATTCGCTTATAGCATTCACGATGCCCTATGAGCACAGAATTCTGGTGGACCCACAATGAATGGGAGTTCAGTGAAACTCAAAGCGAGTAAAAGGTAAGCATATGACCTCTACAACTGAGTAAGTGCGGTTCTGACAGCTCCAAGAGGCCATGTTTTCCATTCAAACCAGAATTTGCCTTGATCACCAAAAGGAAACAATGGCATTTTAAGAAACATGAATGACAACCAAGGAACCCAATCATATTCTTCCTGACTCATGTTATTTCCCTGTATTAGCCAACCACTTACGCTGAAAATGACATAGAAGGAAAGGAAAAGACAGGGCAGCCCATAGTTCCTTTACCTTTCAGTCCTTCCTTTCTTATCAGTAAGCCTAAGGTAGAGTATTGGTAGAATGCATACATATTAAGAAGTGAAACAGAAACAGTTGAGTTAGTTTTGTGTAGTGTTTCTACTGTTCTGATGAGAACAAAATACATATGCATGTACAAACTACGAGATACAAAGTGTGCAGTTTCACTGATTCTGCATACAAGCTAAATGTTTTTATATTTGCATCTAAAACTAGCATTGCACAATATAAAGATGAATGGGAAAATTCATGCTAATCATTTAAAATTTTGATTTTTCTTTACTTAGAATGATATTGTTGTTGTCAATTGCCGTCAAATCAGCTCTGACTCATGGTGAACCCACGTACAGTAGGACAAAGCATTGCCCAGTTCTGCAACATCTTCACGATCATTGCTATGTTCAAGTCCATTGTTGCAGCCACTGCGTATTTTTAATGCTTTCCAACCTAGTGGGCTCATCTTCCATCACCACATCAGACAATATTCTGTTGTGGTCCACAGGGTTTTCATTGGCTAATTTTTGGAAGTAGGTTGCCAGGTTTTTCTTCCTAGTCTGTCTCAGTCTGGATGCTCAGCTGAAACCTGTCCACCATAAGTGACCCTGCTGGTATTTGAAATACCAGTGGCAAAGCTTCTAGCATCACGGCAACACACAAGCCACCACAGTACAACAAACTGACAGATGGGTGGTGGAGAATAGCATTAAATAACAAATAAAAAGTACCATGACAAGTCGAGAGAGCCAGAGACCATGGAAGACAGGACAAAGCTTTATATTTTAGTACTTATAATGGCACTTTTTCCTGCTTTCTGAACAAGGGGCCCTGCAAATTATGTAGTCAGTCCTAGGTGCAGCTGAGTGGGAGAAATGCTTGCTTTTTGTCTCTGCAACACATCACTACAGTTTGCACCCTGGGGTGATCCTAGAAGCTGCACTTACAAGCCCTCACAGCTGGGAATGCAAAGGACAGTAACAATAAGAACAACAAAATGAGAAGCCCTCTGCAGTGTCCTTGCCTGCTCCAGAGCAACTACTTTAGGCCCCATGAAACTGCAAAGCTCTTTTATGAATGAAAATGTTTCCTCCTCCCTTTCTCCTCTCTATACTTTCTTTCCACCTCCCCTCCATGACAGGACACTATTAGGAGGAAATGAGGGCGGGAAAGCAAGCCCCTAATTTCAGAGTGAAATGTCCATTCTATATAACATGTATGTGTATTTTATTAATAATCATATCATAGTTTGAGATTTCAAGGTACAAAAACCTAATTGCAAAACAGAAATGGATCCAGCTAGTGGTTCTCTCTCTTACTGCTGCTTTCACATAAACGAAAATATATCTAATATGACTTTGACATCATATTAATCTTCATAATTCCTACATTTTCTTAAATATCTTGGCATCTTTGCATCAGTATTCCATCTTCTTTTTTGCTTATTAGCTTTAGCATGTCAATCTGACTTGAGTATATATATATATATATATATATACACATATATATATATACACATATATATGCAAATATATATTACATACAGATGCAAATACAATGTTTATATGAAAATTCTGTTTCACATAATATATCATCATAAAGCAATGATTATTTCTTAATAAGAAAAATGATCATAAACCAATATGATTTAATTATTAGACTGTTATGGCTTCGCTGCCTGGTAATGTGCCCAGCTAGAAGCAGTGTGTCAATTGCCAAGTACTTTACAGGCAAACATCTGACACCTGCATGAGCCTCTATTTCTACCACTTTTCCTGGTAGAGGCCCCAAACTCACATGCCTAAAGCCATCACATTATCCCGCTCAGCTGCATCTGTTCAGCTTGTCAGGGTCATGGAACCTAATACAGTCATGCATCGCTTAACATCTACGAACGATACATTCTGTGAAATAGGACGTTATGTGATTTGGACATATTATATACTTAGGAAAGCTATATGGGATACTTTTTTTTCAATTCCAAATCGATACTTCTCCTTTGCCTCTTGCTGCTGCTATCGCTAGCACTGGTTTTGCTGCGTTTGGGAGCCGTGAAGCACTTCACCATAATATTTTCAGAAGAACGTTAAACGGGGAGATAATGCTACAACACTCAACAGACGCACGATATATGAGATCGGATGTTGCTTGCTGCCTACAAGTCGAAGCATACGCTGTTATACGGTAAACTTTTTATTTCTAAGAAGGGAAAGTTCACATTAAAATAATGATAGAAAGTACAGTACATACATAAGTCAGTAACATGAGTGTTTATTATGACTATCAAGACATATGTGTTATAGGTTATATATATGCACTGTACCATTATATGCCTGGCAGCACAACTGCTTTGTATACAAGAGACATGAGATACACGTGTTGCGTGCAGGACGCTGTTGTGTTCGTCACGTCCGGTTACATTTGCTACATCCTGTTGTCCGATCGGGATTTCTGAACTCTATTATAACCTTATGGGACCATGGATATATATGCAGTCAGACATTGCTACTGGAGATATAGATATATATATATACATACACACACACACACACACATACATATAAACAGAGAGAAGGAAGAGGGAGGAGAGAGAAATTTTGTAACTATTGGATTGGCAAAAATTAAGAAATTTGATAAAAGGTAATATTGGTCAGGATGTAGGAAGCATGTTGGTAGGAATGTAAATCGTTGTATTTTCATGAGAGATTTAGTCATCTCTTAATGTTTTAAATGTCATTTTAAAAGAATGAGTAACTGTGCTTATATGGAAAAAGCTCTAAGGGAAATTATTAAGTAAAAAACAGTATTCAGTACAGTGTATGGAGTCCCTTTTTGTGCAGTAAATATGAAAATGTATGTATGTACATGCAGTCACTTCTGCTATAACACTTGTGTTGAAAAAGCGAATTTGTTCCAATGTGATATACGAGGGGAAAATTTGGGCATAACTCCAATTTTATGTTTGCTTATACACAATTTCCTCCACAAGAAATGCTAGGTGACAGCAGAAAACTGCACCCAGCTGAACTGAGCCGCACAGATACACACAAAATGCACACACACACCCTCGACATAAACCAGCTCTCTCAGTTCGCGTGTGTTAGGAGCCACGCCCATCCACATCCGGTGTTACAACTTTCCTTCCAATTTCAGAAAACCCTTCTTCAACCACTATGTGATAAGTCACAGGCTGCAACCCTTCCAATGCCCACTTCCACAAGCGCGCTTCAAATCTTTTCAAGGGGAAGTGCCATATTTATTGTAGTATTTATGTATTTCTTACCCATTTAACGTGTGTAAAACTGTGCTACTATTTTTACTAGGCTCACAGCTTTTGTTTTCTTTATGTGCCACTGATGAAGTTTTTGATTGTTGTGCCTCTAACCCTATTTTTTCCATAAGCCCTCTGGCTTTTATTGCTCAATTGTGCATTGCACAATTTTGCATTGCACAGGGATTTTTAGGATGCTGTTATAGCAGAACTGACTGTATAGTGTATGTATTATATATGTATATGTGTGTGTGTACAGGTAGTCCCCGACTTATGACATATTTGAGTTACCACGAACCGCACTTATGACTGTCTCTTTTTGGGGGGTGTAACTAAAATGAACTCTTATAGAAATAAGTGTGCATGTATATACCATAGAAATTTTTTCTAAATGCTATATGAAAGCAGCTAACAGTGGTTTCCTTTGGGGAGAGAGCAGTAGGAAGAGAAGGAAAAGGGAATTATTACTTTGTATTTCATATCTGTCTATACAGTGTGAATTTGCTAGCCATGAGCATAGGTGTTTGTTTTCTTGAGGTCTGGCTATGGGATAATGGCAATTTTTGTTTTCTTCTCTATACTAATAAATAAATAAATGTGACTTTACAATAATAAAATGTATACTGAAGCCCAGACACATCAAGGCATCTAACTTTTCCTGGAAAGCTGTAGCTCCCGTCAGGATTATGACTTCATGACTATAAAAGTCAAATCGTTGAACCTGAGGTGTGACAAGTTCTTCAGCAATTGTGTCCTAAACAAAAGCACTTTGTCTTTTATGGCCAGAATCTTGCTAAGAATCCAACTAGGTTGGTCAGTATTGGCTGCTACAAG